CTACTACTACTACTAGTAGTAGTGGTGGTAGAATTGGTAATAGTGGTTGTAGTGGTAGGTACTAGGTAGTAGTGGTAGTGGTGGTGGTGGTAGTAGTGGTAGTAGTGGTAGTACTAGAAGTGGTAGAAGAAAGAAGAAGGAAGAAGAAGGAAGAAGAAGAAACATAAGAAGAGAAGAAGAAGAAGATGCGCGCAGGGAAGAATTGACCTCTAGGATCTGAGTCCTCATACAATACCACTAGGCCACGCTGACAGTTGACAGCAGGGTAAAAAATGAACTCTGTTTGCCTTTCAGCTGGGGTCATTTTTCTTTAGGCAACAAAACCAAAAGCACCGACCAGCTCAATGTGCCCTGAACCGAGGCACTTCCAAACATTGCTTCTGTTGCCAGAAGACACAAGGCACTGTCTCCATTGTCTAACAGGTCCTGCTGTCCCCTCAATGTCCTCTACCTCTGGAGAGTGGGTGAGGATCAAGGCACTTCCACAGAAGACACAAACTGTCTCCATTGTCTAACACCCCTCAATGTCCTCTAGAGATTGAGTGAGGATCGAGGTTGCTTCTGTTGCCAGAAGCTAGAAGACACAAGGCACTGTCTCCATTGTCTAGGGTTCAACCCCCACTGTGTGTGCTTTTCCTTTTCTGTGAAAAAGAAAGATAGCTGTTGCACTTCCACGTTGCTTCTGTCCTTGTGACTGCCACGAAAAATATGGAAGTGCATCGATCCTCACGCATCCTCACTCAGTCATAAGGACAGAAGCAAAAGAAAGAAGAAGAAGATAGGAGAACTTGAAAGTGAAAAGTAAAGCGCAAAACAAGGATAAGCCAGCAGGGATGCAGGGGGGTTGATTACTGTAGGTTTGTTTATAATTGCAGGGGTGGCAGTCTGAAGAGGTTCCCTTTGAACCTAATTAATCTATTTCTTGGATAGGGCTTTAAAAAGGGAACCTTAAGGTCTTGGCTAGCCAGTGTCATAAAGGTTCCACAAAAGAAGAAGAAAGATAAGAGAACTTAAAAGTAAAAGGTAAAGGACAAGGCAGGGAAAAGCCAGCAGGGCTGGAGTGGGGTTAATTATTGTAGGTTTGTTTATAATTGCAGGGGTGGCAGTCTGAAGGGGCACCCTTTGAACATAATTTTTCTATTTCTCTGATAGGGCTTTAATAAGGGAATCTAAAGGTTTTGGCTAGCCAGTGTTTTTGGAAATCATAAAAGATTCCACAAAAAAAGAAAAGCCAACAGCTCAAGGCCAATTTCTCAGCCAATCCGGAACCTGGTCTGGAACCGCCTCCAGGACCTATACTCCGGAACCTGCTCCGGAACCTAACTCCGGAGCCATGCTCCGGACCTTCCTCCGGACGACTCCCGAATCTCCTCCGGAACCTCCTCCGCAACCCGGAACCTGCTCCGGAACCTGCTCTGGAACCTCCTCCGAAACCTCCTCCGCAACCGGAACCTGTTCCGGAACCGGAAACTAGTCCGGAGCCTAGCTGCTCCGGAACCTGCTCCGAACCTACTCCGGAACCTGCTCTGTAACCTGCTCCGCAACCTACTCCGGAACCTCCTCCAGAGCCTGCTCCAAATCTGCTCCGAAGCCTTTACTAGAGCGGAAGACCCCTAGCTTGGCTGTTGGGGAAAAAAGAAGAAGAGGAAGAAGAAGAAGAAGAAGACGCAGAAGAAGAAGATAGGAGAACTTAAAAGTAAAAGGTGAAGCATAAGGCAAGGATAAGCCAGCAGGGCTGGAGTGGGGTTGATTATTGTAGGCTTGTTTTTGTTTATAATCGCAGGGGTGGGGGTCCAAAGGTGTACCCTTTGAACATATTTTTTCTCTGATAGGGTTTTGATAAGAGAATCTAGCCAGTGTTTTTGGACATGATAAAGATTCCACAAAAAAAGAGCAAGAAAGAAGAAGAAGAAGAAAAAGAAGAAGAAGCTAGGGTAACTCAAAAGTAAAGGGTAAAGCGCAAGGCAAGGACAAGCCAGCAGGGCTGGAGTTGTGTTGATTATTGTAGGTTTGTTTATAATTGCAGGGGTGGGAGTCCAAAGGGGTACCCTTTGAACATAATTTTTCTATTTCTTTGATAGGGTTTTAATAAGGGAATCAAAAGGTTTTGGCTAGCCAAAGTGTTTGGAAATCTGATGGTCAAAGATCAAAAACACAACAGAACAAACGATCAATAAAAAGAAGAAGAAAGAAGACAAAACAAACATCTGAAAGCATTCTGTTTGCGCAGTTAAAGTAGTATTGCAAATTTCGGGCAGGCCAAACAGAAGATTATTACTGTAGTGGTTTACAAGTGAATGAACATGTTTGTCGTTTTGGGGTCTGGATGTTGGCGCAATTAAACCTAGTATTGCAAATGAGCTTGCTATTGGCGCATGGTTTAATACTGGTTATGGCCAGGCTACTCTGGTTGTCAAGAGTATTCTCAGAGTATTGTCACCTGTCACTGGCATTCTCTGAGTGAAGCCTGAGGCTTTTGAAAAAGAGAAGGCACCCTGAAAGCATTTCGATATCTGGCTGCGCGCGCAACTAAAACTAGTATTGTAAGATTCTGGCAGACCAAAAAAGCTAATTTTTATTATCAAAGGTTTACAATTGACAAACAAAATTCTTTGTTAGTTTTGGGGTCTGGATTTGGTGGGCGCAAAAATTGTAAAATTCTGGCAGGCAAAAAAGCTCAGTACTATTGTCAAATACTTTACAATTGGATGTTAACATTACAAACTGTTCGTGGGAACTCTTGGGAGCCTTTGACAAACGAATCAGCCAATCCTATTGGTCACAGTGAGACACAGGTTTCCAAGACTTTTGCTTTCAAAGTGCTGAGGCCCACAGGTGAGGGCTTGGCCCTTTTTGCACCGGGCACCTGTCCCGTAGGGCCGCCAAATACAGACCACGGGGCAATTCTGGCGCTCTGTAGGGTCCAAATGTCACCTGCTAAGTTAAGCTGCGATAGCATCTTCAATTGAACAGTAGAGTACATCAGTGCATCACATTCAATGGACACGTCAACCACTGTTTCGCCCGCGCGGCAACAACGCCGACACTTGCTTTTCCAAGTGGAGTGTTTTGGAGAAGATTGCGCACAGCACAACTGTTTGAAGATGTTGAACATTTGCTAAGGCTCGGGAAGAAATTCCTCACGGCGGCCGTTGGATTGTGCCCGCTTCGAAGGCGGGATGAACACCAGCCGGCGAGTACCCAGGGCCTATATAGGGTTGTGGCTGGGGGGGGGCAGACGGAACTTTCTGGTGGAAGCTGTTTTTATTTGGGCAGTTGGTGGTGCAGAAGATGAAAGCCTAACTTGTTGCGGCATTGCGTCAACAAGCTGAAGCTGTATAAGGCCAGGTGGAAATGGATTCAGAGTAGTTCGAGTGGAAAGAGGCAGTGCTGGCCTAAGGGTCGAAAGTAGGGGCCCCCAGCTAAACACATCTATTCTGCAGCTGGGCGCTAGGTTTGCGGTAGACATGTGCTAGTGACTGACTTAGGACATGTTCAGGAGGTCATCAGGTGTTGAATAGTAGCTGGCTAAAATATGCGCTAGCCGCGCGCCGGCGCGGCGCTACATCCGCGCTAGCAAACATTGCCAGATTCCAGCATGGACCCGTTCAAAGCTGACTTGCAGCAATCAGCAAATCTTTTGTTTCAAGCATTGCCTGAAAAGGCACAGAACTTCCTTGGAGAGCAGCTGAAAACGGTGCAGCGCTAGTGACACCTGTCACAATTCGGTGCCAATACTTGTTTGGTGCATGTTTCCCTCATTAACCAGCTGAGTGTGCCGAAAGTAAAGAATATGTAGCGGGCCCCCATGTGAACACGACGCCCAGCCATTTTTGGAAGAAGACATTTCGACCAGATCCCCGATGGGTCTGTGCCGTTGGGGAAGGGTGCCCATGCGTGTGTAAATGCGGCGTGGCACTCGTGAGGGCACGATTGGTGGTGATTCTTTTGGGTGGGTACCGAAGGAAAAACAACTCCCAAATCGGCAATGTTTTGTAGTTTAGCAGTGGCTTAAGAAGGCGGTTATATAAAAGCAACTACAAACCGTACTTAGGGGTCTCCGACGTGAGGCTTTTGATTGGGTAGTGGTTTTAAGCAGGCACCCGGGGTCATATAGTTATTTACCGGTACCTTCTATTGTTGGGGCAGCGGGAACGAGATCCGGACGACATCCCCAACTGACATTCCCTGGATGTGCACGGTGCGGTGCCCATATTCCACTCTATTTGTTGATTCTATCTTTGCCCTTTCAAGTGTCATAAGAAAGAGGTTAGGCCTGCCACACAGCCGACCCGTGCGCTCGTAGATGGGACCAAGAAAAGGATGACGGGTATTGGACCGAACTCTTTTGAAACAATCACCAATATCAAATTACAGGAAACTGTGACGAATGCGCCGCATCCCATGTTCGATGCCGCTTCTTGGTTCACTCGGGCTACCAGGGCCTTTGAGCTAAGGCCGTGTCTACGCAAAAGACCGCATTTCATGCAGCGCTTCCCCTCCGTGTTTTCCCCCTTTGACTTAGAGCGCAAAGGTTGCAAGCTAGGTAACTAGACCCAGCTTTTCACATTGGTAGCGGAGCCGCCAAAGCGCGGCTTGGCACCGGCGCCGACGCCATGCCTACTTCGACTGATTAGAAGTCGACGGACTACAGTAGCACTGATAAGTTTCTGGTGCCTCGGTCCGACAACACGACTGTTGGCTACAAAGAGTGGAGAAAGCGCATTCAGTTGTATGCTCATCGTCAAAAGCTATAAGGCCGCTCCAAGGAGACAGCTCTGATTGGCTGCGCGACAGGGACCTACATGAAGCTTCTGAAGCCCTTGCACGGACAAGCTGATGCTCCAAGAGCTTGGTTCCGAGTTGCCAGCGTGGATATGAAATATCCACTGCCTCGACCATTGCCTCTACAAACTCCACAATCGAGACGGACGTCTCGTGTCCTTGACCGGCTTGCGCGTGGATGACCTCATCGCTCCAGGAGATGAAGGTGATGAAGACTACCGAAAGGCAAGAGACGCTCCCAAGAAGGAGTTCAACTTCAAGCACTGGACAAGTGACGCCGCAGGAGAACCCGAGTTCTGTGGCAATCGGCTGACTCGGTATGATGAGTCATGGTCATGGAAGCTGCAACAAGAAGAGTATCTGAAGAAAATCAAACCGATGACCACGGTCAAGAAAGCAGCTGATGTGGAGTTGAGGCCCAATGAAGTGAGCGCCCTTAGAGGTCTTGTAGGTGCGTTGCAGTGGGCATCCACTCAGAGTTCACCACACCTCTCAGCTACAGTGTCCTTGCTTTGTGGCAGCGTCAGTGGAGCAACGCAGTCAGTTACCGAAGGAGCAAACAAGGCCTTGAGGTTTGCAAAGGCGAACGCAGATGCATCCCTGCGCTTTCAGCGACTTGGTCCACTCAGTGACTTGCGCCTGATAGCCATCTCAGACGCCGCTTGGGGCGTCAGGCAGGACCATCTGAGCCAAGGAGGTTTCTTCGCCCTGCTAGCTCACAAGAAGATTGAGGGAGAAATGGATCAGCCATATGTGATCCTGGAGTGGCGCTCCTATAACTCTCAAAAGTTTCGAGAAGTTCGTTGAACGCAGAGGCCAGGCCTGTTCGGCAGCCGTTGATTCACTTGAGTTTTTGCACATCTTTTAGCAAGCATGTCATCAAAGTGGTTTTCAGCTCAGCGCAGCCAAGTCTGACAAGAGAGGTGACAAGCGCTTCCTCCCATCGGCGCCCGTCATCGACGCCAAGGCTTTGTATGATGCCATCAAGTCCGAGCTTCCACAAATCAGTGGAGACAAGAGGGCCCAGATCGAAGTGATGATTGTGAAAGAAAAGATGAAGTCCATGTCCACTCATCTGAGATGGGTATCCTCGGAGGTCCAACTATCGGACGGCCTTACAAAGACCCAGGCAAGGCAGCTACTAGCAGACAGGCTGCGAAGCCACAGATTTTTGATGGTGGCCGACAGCTCGTTCCAAGCTGCAAAGAAGAAAAGTGTTCAAGAAAGCAAAGAAAGTGCCAGAAGAAACGCCATCAGTGCCAAGAAGAGTCTGACAATGATGATTGTTTCAGCAGCGTGCAACCAGTCGTCGCACCGACAGACAAGGACAATGACATTGACTGGATGTTGATTGCAATTACATCGTTGGTTGGCGTGGGACTGGTGCAACTCATCAATTGGTTGCAAGGTTGTTGGCAGCAGAGGCACAACAGAGGTCGACAGAGAGGCTTGGAGAAGAGAAAGAGCCATGCAAACTGAACCCCAAATCCAGAGGCAAGAAAGAACAGAACAGCTCGAGGCAAAGATCGAGCAGCACAAGGAATACATCCGAAGAGGAAACATGGTCAATCAAGACCTTCGCAAGACCATTTCAGACTTGCGAGATGAATGTGAACAAAGACAGTGGCGACAGGAGAAAACCGATCATGAACTCGGTCGGCGTCAGCAGATGATCGAAGAACTCAGTCAAGAGTTGAGAGAAGTGAGAATTCAGGCAGCAGCAGCAAGAGGAAGTTTGGCAGGCATCCCCAGGACAGTGTTCATGTCCAAAAAAAAAGGCGATATCACCTGCACCCGGCTGCAATGGACTCAACAACTCCAATGGAGTGCAAGGATTCGACTACTGCAGTTTTTGCGCCGCAAGGGTGATGTACCCACCGGATGACGGCCCTGGGCCAAGGTCGTGTCTACGCAAAAGACCGCATTTCATGCAGCACTTCCCCTCCGTGTTTTCCCTTTCGACTTAGAGCGCAAAGGTTGCAAGCTAGGTAACTAGACCCAGCTTTTCACAGGAACGACATCGGGGAAATACAGCCAGAAAAACTATTCTCGGCATTATCGTGGCTCGAATGTTTTCATGAAGAAGGTGCGCGTTGGTAAAGGAATTGAATTTGTCAAACCTGCAGTTGGCGTTGAGCCCTTGTTGTGCGGAGGCCTTCCTTGATCAGGCCCAAAGCTAGAGTGAGGGGCATGTTTGCCACAAACGCCTTGCAAAATGTCTTGGTAATGGTAATGTCACCGCAAGCATGACTGACATGCTTGGGCTGACATAGACGACATAGATGTTGTCATCATTGCTTGATCTTTTGTCAGCACACTGTGCCATCACTCTGCGCCAATTGTAGGAAAAGTGATGCAAGCAAGCCACGGTAAGCGCTTTCAACCGTGTTCATTTTGCCATTGACTCACCCACCTGATCAGGCTTGGCTGGCTCCAGACCCAGCATTGAGGGTCACAAGATGCCTTGTAATGCAGTTGCCCAACGTAGCTTCTCAAAGATTGAGTTGACTCTGATAGGTTAGAAGGGCCAGACAAGACACGACAAACATATGTGTGACATCATTTGAATCCTTTGACAGGATCTTGCTTCAACAGCGTGGCCAAACCCCACGTGATTTGTGTATTTGACAGGGGCTGTGCTGAGCTCCAGCATTTTTGAAAATGAGGCGCTTTGTCACAGCCTTTTGGAAGGCCTATTCAATGGCAGCGCGTGTGTTTGTGGTGCTTACCTCAGAGCAGCATTCGCGTAACAATGCAAATCTGGCAAGGGTGCCAGGTCATTCGGAGAGAGCATGAACCATTGCATGCATGTGCATTGGTGTGTGTATACAAATACAAAAAATAGATACAGTACCCCCCCCAAAAAAAAAAGAACCGTAATATATATACATCTCTATCGAATCTATGTGTAGTAGACACTGTGTGGATATGCGCCCTTGGACGAACTCGCAGCAGAAGCAAGAATGGCAGATGGGTTTTGACACCACAATTTTAGCAAGCTTCGCAGGAGTGACCGCAACACTGCTTGAAACCCAGCTTTGGCCCATGAATGCTTGGGGGAACAGCTTCTCTGATTCAAGGGTGCTGAGAGATGCTGAGAGCATGTAAGGGTAGGATACGGTAGGGTCAGGCACTGCTGTTGCAGATTGCACTTGTCATTCGTGTATGTTGGCCTTGCCGAAGGAATGACTCTGAAGCAAAGCTGTCAGTCTGGCTCCTGAAAGCAGAGGAGGGTACTCAAATCCATAATGTTGAATGCCAATGCTGATAGTTTTATCAAGTTGAGCAGCCTTCTCAAGTTCGAGTGGCCTGCGTCGAGAAAGGTCAAGACCGGCCTGTGTCAGGACGACATGCATGTGTTGGCTGTCGGGAGCGTGTTGATGGACCTCTTGCAGGCCAAGGCGCCATGGAACAAAAAAGAACAGGACGGTGGGGGACCTTTAAGGCCTCCTTTAAGAGTCCTGATTAAAAATGACCTTACCTTATCTTATTTTGTTTGTCTTCTCTTTCTTCCCACATACCTCCTTTGTATATGCCATGCATCGTTGACACCATGGCACCATGATGTGCAGTGTTTGGCCCTGCCAGCCATCGCCCTTGTCGCCAGGGCCATGCTCCACGTCTAAAGTTTGAGAGCTTCGTTCGTGGCAAAGTGACGTTCGACCCTCAAAGCTGCTAGGGCCGGTTGGAGTGTTGCATGAACTTCACTGTTCATGATTTCGCCATGTTGCGCATTCAAGTTCCTTTGTGAGGCATGTTGTTTCAGCGTGATTCAGTGGGAACCGCTCCAGATCTCGCAAAGTTGCCCTGAGGCATCGGCTTCGTCCCTGATGATGAATGATTGTTTGATAAAGTTGGATGTTGAGAGAGTGATCTCGTCATCACATGTAAACGAACCGTGCTTTGGCTGAGCCAATGTCACCTTAAAAAGGTCTCGACGGCTGGGGTAAGTGGTGAGTAAATAGTTCTGATTATACATATGTATAATATGTATATATATATATATATGTGTACATGCACATGATGCACATTATCGACATACATGCATGCATGCATGCATGCATGCATGCATGCATGCATGCATGCAT